AAAGAGCTGGCTGTGAAGATTCTTAAGCCATCAGTAGATGTGGTGAAGGAATTTGTGGTGGAAATTGATATCATCACAGGCCTACATCACAATAACATTGTTTCTCTATTTGGATTTTGTTCCGAGAACGAGAATTTGCTGCTGGTTTATAACTTCTTACCCCGTGGAAGTCTTGAAGAGAATCTTCATGGTATGTGGAGTGCCCATATATAGTTCTTTCCTTCAGTCAAGATTCTTTTTTTTGGGCAAAATCTCATTCAAATTTACCCATTTTAAGGTAATAAAAAGGATACAAGTGCATTTGGCTGGAGTGAGAGGTATAAGGCGGCGCTTGGGGTAGCTGAGGCTCTAAATTATCTGCACAACGGCCGAGAACTTCCCGTGATTCATCGGGATGTGAAATCTTCGAACATTCTCCTTTCCGATGATTTTGAAGCACAGGTCTGACTTGCTCGATCTGATTGTTATCGTTATCAATATTCTTCCGAGATCCAAATCATTTAGACAAAGTGTTTTTATCTCTCTCTCTCTCTCTCTCGTTCAGCTTTCTGATTTTGGACTTGCCAATTGGGATGTTAATTCTTCATCGTCTCAGCGAATTTGCACTGATGTTGCTGGGACTTTCGGGTATGCGATATCATCTGAAAATTTCAGTTTTTCCAACCGTTTTGCTATGTCTTTTCCTTCTGTGACATTTGTTCTTGTCTCAGTTATTTGGCCCCGGAATACTTCATGCATGGTCGGGTGAGCGAGAAAGTAGATGTGTATGCGTTTGGTGTTGTACTTCTTGAGTTGCTTTCCGGGAGAAAACCGATCGACAGCGGTAACAACAACTGCCAAGAGAGTCTTGTCCTGTGGGTGAGTATCCCATGCCTACTGCTTCATATTTCAAACATTTTAGTTCCGAAACTTGTATTTTTTGAACATTTTATTGGAGACATATCAGTACATCAATATCAACGGCCTAACATCTAAAACAATATTGTTTTCGTTGATCGGTTATTGGAAAATGCACGAAAATGCAAGTTCTTTAACAAAAAAGTTACTATCCATCTGTTTATTGGTTTCCCTTCTTGTCTAATGGCTTATAGATCTTGATAATATTCAGGCGAAGCCAATCTTAGAGGGTGGAAAAATGCTGCAGCTGCTTGACCCAAGTTTAAAGAGCGACTATGATGTGAACCAGATTGAAAGAATCACGATGGCTGCAATGCTCTGCATCAGACGCACACCTCGGCTTAGGCCTGATATTTGCATTGTAATGTCTCATTCTTCTCCGGCACTATCAGCTAAATTCCGTCCCTGTTTTGGCCAAGGGATTCATCGAATAATCAGTATACCTACATCCCTCTGGCTTTTTTTTTGGTGTGTATATATTGTAGATTTTGAAGCTCCTGAAAGGCGAGGAAGAAGTGGAAAAGTGGGCGAGGCAGCAGCTGAATAGCACGTCGGAAGAAACTGTAGACGATGAGATGGATGGAGAGTGGTCACAGCCGACAAGTAATATACAGTCGCATCTGAATCTGGCTTTGTTGGATATAGACAATGGTGACGATGATTCCCAGTCGATGAGCAGTAGCTCCGAGCAAAGTGTTTCCATTGAGGATTACCTGAGAGGGAGATGGAGCCGTACATCAAGCTTTGACTAGGAATCTCTGTCTGAAGATTGAAAGGGGGACAACCTTAGAACTAGTTTTTTTTTTTTTTAATTTCTGGTATAGTTTCTAGTTGTTGGGTTTATTATCGTCTTCATGCCGAATTAACATCAGGTATTTGAGGGTTTTGCTTCCTATTGTTGTATGTTGTGTACAGAATCTCATATTGCTTATCCATCTGATGAATGCTTGTGGAGATGCGTATTCAATAATGGAAAGAGGATTTCATCACTCTGCTGTCTTTCACTTTCGCCCCTCCATCTTTAATCATCCGAAATGGGATCCTGAAAAAAAGGAAATATATTCGGACATGTCTGATTGTGTTCAAACGATGTGTATACGATGCCCCAGTAACTGTGATCGATATATACGAAAAAAAAATGAAATGAAATGAAAAATCAAGAATCTTGGATGATGTTCTACCTATACAACGAATTTTATTGGGGAAAAAACAAACAACCACAAATCTCGACCAAGAGCCCTTCATGCCAACAATCCTGTCCTTAACCCCTGATGCAGAATCTAATGAAGAAATCAAAAGATCCAATCTTGGATCTTCGGCCTGTGGGAGAAATCTGTATTGGTCCTAAAGACTTGAGGGGTATTTGCATTTCGAATTCAACCGGCGTTTCCTTGGATCTACCATCTATCTGTATTAAGACAGAAACCAAAACAACAACAAAACCGCCCGGGTGGCATGTTTCAGAGAACTTTGTCCGATGGAAGAACTCGACACAATGCGTCAAAGCCAGGGATTATAAATCATTTCAGTGGATCCTTTCAAGAGCCCATGGAAATGGCAAATGGCATTTCGCTCTCGTGCGATGCGACGCTCGAACTGCTCGAGCTTGACGTTCTTTCCTTGGATTTGTTGCCATCCCCTGATGGGCATTGCCGGGGAGTTTCTTCGGGAGGAGACTCGAGGTTTTGTCCCGGAGGCTCGATTTCCCGGGTCACCGTGTCACCACTAGCGTTGCCGCCGGATCCAACGACCATCCTGAAGCCGAGGGATCGGGAGAGAAGGCGGTAGACGAAGGTGAGAAGCCAGAAAAGCCAGGGGAGACAGACGAAGGTGATGCCGACGTAGGAGAGCCAGGAGGGCGGGTAAGGGAGGATGGTGTAGGCGATGAGACAGCCTCCTCCTATGGCGATGGAGAGGAACAGGAAGAAGGTTATGAGACAGATGAATGTCCGCCCCGCCTGAGGATCTGGCACAGGCATTTGCTTTCTTTGATTCGGGGGTCGATCTCGCTCGGGTTTTGACGATGACGTTCAATGTGTCAGATCAAGAAACTCAAGGATGACTTCTTGTCTCTGTCATCATCCATGTTTTCGTTGGTCATATCATCACATTTGGTCTGAGTTTCTCTTGGAGGTGGATCGAGATGGGCGAATCGCCCATGAGGGATGAGCAGTTGGAGAAGAACTTTGACAAGGGAAAAAAAAAAGATAGGTCCACAGCCTGAACAAGAGAGAGAGAGAGAGAGAGAGAGAGAGAGAGTATTTCTTTCTGGTTGGTTATTTGGTATCGGCTTGTGAATTATATTTGGCTATAATAGGAAACGGGATTTTGGAATTTTGCCGTCTCAGAGGTGAGGGACCTCCGTACAAACAGGACTCTTCAAATTATGCAGGAACTAAAGACATCCGTTTATGTACGTCTAGTTGGTTCCCCCCCTTGTTATGGTCCTAGACCCAAACGAATAAACGTTTTGTATTTTTACGTTTATTTAAACTATCTACACATTTTAAACCAAAAAAAAAATTCAATAATTTATATTCCTAAGGAAAATATAAAGCGGGCATAACCAAATCATGAGAATGAAGAAGCACAGAGACAAAAGCGAAGAACAGTGTGGCGTTCTTCATCGGTAGAATCTTGAATCATCAAACCCTCAGCTTCTGCGTTTTAAGCCAATTCACCTCTAATGTCGCCGCGGATTGCGATCTTGTGAAGAAGCTTCAAAAAACGTGCCGCCGGATGTATAGATGGATGGATACAACCCGATGGATCAAGTGCTGATAGGCGCTTTCAGCTCGACTTCTTCGGATGCTTCTACAGTTGCACGAGCTAGTATTTTCGCTCTCTTTTGTGCTTCAGCTCTTCTTCGGTTAGATTCGAGTATTATGAGCAGTGCTGTGATGTCGGCTGGGCTGACTCCGCCTACTCGGCTCGCTTGCCCGATCGTTTGTGGTCTGACCTGAAATTATATAAATCTATTCCATGAGAAATCCGACAGGATATTAATAATTAAAAAAAAACTTCGAGTAATAAGCTAAGAAAGGATCGTTGTTCCTATCAAACTTTAACCGATGAACTCAAAATACTCTACACACCTTGGAGAGTTTCTCACGCGCTTCATGAGAGAGCGTTGTCATTGAATAGTAATCCAAATCATCTGGAAGTGGCCTATGTTGTTGATGGACCATCTATGAGGACATAAAAAAGGAGAGAGAGATCAGATTTTCAACTATGTCCGAACTTTCTGTATGAATATTTCTGCAACTCTTAGCAAAATCGAGACAGAGAAACCGTGAAATGGACTCGTAGAAAAAAGTTACCTGTTGTAGTTGGTTCTGCTGACGCATAATGAAACCTTCGTACTTTATATCGATCTCAACACATTCTTTCTCTATTCTCGATAACATTTCGTTTCCAAAACCATGCTTCTCGAGAACTTTGTAGTGGATGTGCGGTTTCTTTAAAAGAGTCTCAAGCGTGGCGGAATCTCGAACCGGCTGACCAGACAAATGAGTAACTTCAGCAGCCAAATCTCCATCTGCAAGCAAATTAATCGACAATTAAGAAGAATGTCAAAAGAATGCAACAATTTCAATTGTTTGGCATCTTAGACTTTTGCTTGAGGAGAATTCACACCAAGAAACTAGTCATAAAACTCAACAAGTACTCTTATTGGGCGATTAAAATATGCGAAGTGCGAAAATTTCGCATTTATCACCCATCCGAAGGATTGGCAGCAGGGCAGTTTGAAGCCATTTTGTTTTTGGGGCCAAAGGGAGAGAGAGACCTGAAATCTTGACAGTCTTCAGTCTCTTCTTCTCTTCCGAGATCCTGGCTTGCTTGTCTTGGTATAGTTTCCACCGTCTATCATCTATCAATCCTATTTCACGTCCCAAAGGAGTGAGGCGACTATCCGCATTATCAGATCGTAGAAGCAGCCGATGTTCTGAACGGCTAACATACAGAAAAAGAAAAAGAAAATAACTAAATTGTGTTGATGGACGAACTGAAGCACATGTCAATCAAGAAAACCCTAGGTAACAAATCCCAACAAAATGGAAAATAATTTCCCAAAACAAAGTTTATTGTGATTGAGACACCCTCAATATCTTAAATTCCTAATGTTGAATGCTGAAATTTGAATCGAGGAAAATTACCATCACCCAAGTGAATGTCCTCTCGAAAAACTATCAGCAACTTCAGAGTACAAAATGGGTATATCGTGAACCTCAGTAACAATAACGAATTTAAAAACAAAATGCAGTTCTTTTCTTTATGCTTTTTCCCATTCCAACTGACAAGAAAAACATCAAAGACATAAACAAAATGGAGGCAAAGGTGGATAAGCAAAATGGATGGTTTTCATTAGCTACATCCGCCTGGTAATTACCTCCGGGGACAATCTAAACCACCATAAATGAAACCACAACATCCACACCACAGAAATTAGAGTCATGAAGTGGAGAATAGAGAAGTATGGATTAAAGAAGAAAAGACAGTAGCTTACCTTGTTAACATGCGATATGGCTCTCGGAGGTCTTTCGTTACTAGATCATCAATCAATGTGCCAATGAAACTGCTTTCCCTCTCAAGAACAATGAGCGGCTTATTATCTGAATGTCTGGCAGCATTGATACCAGATAAAATACCCTAAGGCTCAAAGAAATGAAAAAGATTGGTGTGAGATCCTGAAGTTAGAAAGTCCAAACAATAGTACTCTAAGCAAACCTATTATGATGAATCGTGTTCCATCTTTATTAGAAGGCACAGCGACTAAAAAACTCAAATCACCTGAGCTGCAGCCTCTTCATAACCAGTTGTGCCATTTATCTGACCGGAGAAGAAAAGACCTTGAATTTTCTTTGTCATCAGGGATCTTGAGCACTGATGAGCTGGCAAGTAATCATATTCTACAGCGTAGGCAGGTCTTAGCATAGAGCAATTTTCAAGTCCAGGCAAGGTTCTTAATAGCGGCAGCTGAAGATTCTCTGGCAAGCCAGTTGAGAATCCCTGCATAAACAACAGCAGCCGATTGCAAATTATAAAATTGAACTTTGAGAATGGAAAAGAATGTAGAACAAACGCTAAACACCCATGATCCCCATGATGATTAGACTGTCTTAAAAAACTTAGCATGATGATTCAGATGACTAGATGCCAACGAAGCCACTTGTATGTAGTGAATGTCTTTACCGCTACTTCCCCCATCTCAGAAAATAGACTGTTTTCCCAAAATAATTCCATGTTACATTTGCTAGAGAAATGGATTTTCAGATTTGACTATACCACATGGGCCATCTCCGCTACAGGTTGTAGGGGACGGACAAAAATATTACGTATCAAGACTACTACAATACTCCTACTCATCCAAAAGAAAAATAAGACAACGGTGTGAACCAGTTCTGAGCAATGATCCAAATTACCTACCAAATAAATAATCATTTAAGCAACCATCTTCTTTCAGGTCTTCAAAATCATCTTGAGATCTCTTAATAAATCTATGGAAATAAACTTCTGTGGAGTACATCAACTTCAAGCTGATTCTAATCATACATCAAACAAATACCTAGACCAGGCTGACCAGCACTTTGCCTGTTTATCCACTTAGGAAAGAGAGACTACGTACGTTTAGCCTCATCTTTAGTTCTTTGCACTTTTTGCCTTCCAGTGACAAACAACACAAAAATGGAAGTAACAAATAAGAAACGCATCAGACCTGCACATAGATCTCAGGAACATTTCGTCCCTCTGGCTCAAGAAATATTTGATGGGACTCTTTCTCCTGAAACCTTACAATCTGAAATCAAATAGCCAATGAGACACTTGTGACTAATACAGAATTAACAAATATGACAGAACCAGTCCAAAGGAGCAAAAACGCATTAACCATATTCTTGGAAGAGACACAATAGAAAAGCATATGCAACATTGTTTTATTGCATAGATAATTAAAAACACCAATATACAAACTGACAAAGAATGGATCTCCTTGATTAACAATGAAAGATAGAGGAGAAGTATTGTTCACTTTATCGCGAAACAGTGAAGAAAATAGTCATGATATTGAGAAAACGCTTAGAAACGAAAGGTAGATACAGCATGTGTCAAACGCAAATCACCTGGTTCAAAGAAAACTTCAACTATCAAAGCAAATGCAGATAATTTTTTTTACCTTATCCTCAATTGAAGGGCAGTACCGTGGTCCCTTTGCTTCAACCCATCCACCATAGGTTGGGGTCTCATGCAAGTTCTCCCTGATCAGCTCGTGTGTGATCTTAGTGGTACGAGTCAGGTAGCAGCACATTTGCTCTCTTTCAATATGAAAGTCCGGGTCGAAACTAAACCAACTGACCTGAGAAAAGACAAGTTATGTTCAAGTACAGCCCAATTATAATAGGATCAGGAATCAGTGGTAATCAGAACCTGCTACTAGAGAAAGAAGGTGTTATAGTTCTAGCAGTGGATATAGAAACATTTTGAAAGCAGCAAAAACACTTTAAACTAAATTTCCAAGAAAGAAAGTGAATGATCATGGTGTTTAAATAATATTAAGTCTACCAGATGGTTTAGTATCAAATTCCGATGATATATGTTGCAACTTTCAACACACTGCAGTTCCAAAGTTATTGCATAATTTGCATCCAGTCTAACTGGCTCACTAAAACGTGGACTAATTCTTGTGACCACGAGACCAGATTATAGTAATTCTATTCAGGAAAATTTATCATTAAATGGGAAAACCTCTTCATCTCCATGCTGGGGCTCCAATCTGGAAAAATCTATAGTACGGCAGTCCACACGTGATGGAGTCCCAGTCTTCAGGCGATCTGTTTCAAATCCAAGTCTCTGTAAGTTCTCAGTCAATCCTTGGGAAGCCGATTCACCAGCTCTTCCAGCAGGCATAGATCTTCTACCAACCCAAATCTTCCCACTCATAAAGGTCCCAGTGGTGAGAATAACAGAAGGAGCATAGAAGTTCATCCCGAAGAATGTGCTGACCCCTTCCACGTTGTCATTCTTCCCAATAAGGATATCTGTTACCATTGCCTCTCTAATAGAGAGATTTCTAGCGCTGGAATACCGAAGCAAAATTGCACTTGTTAGCCAGATGACAAAAAAAGCATCTCTGAATATCTACCAAGTGAAATATACGGCAACCATGAACAAATTCAAAGAGAAACTATATCACCAGTGATTCAGGACAATGCTACTTCAGAAATTTCCATTGACTAAAAGTGAAGTTTGAGCTTCATCAGTAACTTTTCATCCTTTCAGTGAAATATATCTTATATCTAATAGGAAACTAACAAAAAACATTGCAAATGAAGTTAGAGTTGTCTCCATGGAAAATAATGGAATGTAAGCAAACTAGACTTCAACTAACCTTTCAACTACTTTTTTCATTTCCAGGGCATATTCTCTTTTGTCAGTCTGGGCACGCAATGATCTGACGGCAGGACCCCTTGAGACATTCAGAATACGCTTCTGTAAGTAGCATCTGCACTGTTAAGATAATGTCAGCAGTTAAAACGCAAACTAGTAAATATCATAAAATATTGCTCAGTAAAAGGAAATTGATAACATCTGTTGTTATCTTTACACCTTCTACAGCCGCACAATTACCGGCCCATGCAGTTACAAATCGTTAAAAACTTAGATACAACCCATTGAAATATGATAGTGGTCTTCCTTTACAACCCACACACAAAAATAATATACAAAACAAAAGAGACTTTTAGATATTTTCAAATATGGAAAGTGAAGAATGTAAAGGATACAACAGTTCCACTACAGAAGATAATCGAAAGTGCATCAGAGATGCTGCAGCATGACAGAAAATGAACACTCAATTCACATCTCTTCACATAACTTTGGTTTTCTTGTGCTAGCATCGCCATTACTCATAACAATATAATCTGCGGAAGCTAACAATTGTATGACATGGATCAAGAGTCACCCTATGGACACACCACTAAGAATCGAAACAGGACGTACAACATAAGAAATGGATACGAAATTCAAAACAGTTACCTGTCAGCAATCTTCCCAATTTCACCCCCTAGTGCATCCACTTCATGGACTAGCTGTGATTTTGCTGGTCCACCTACTGCTGGATTACAAGGCTGAATACAGCACTAAATCACTCCAGAGAACTATCAACATTATGGATACCCAAAAAACAACCAAATCAATAGAAATTTCAAACCTGCCAAGCTATTCGATCGAGGTTTAGAGTGAGAAGTAAAGTTTTGGCCCCCAAACGTGCAGAAGCTAAGGCCGCTTCGCATCCGGCGTGTCCCGCCCCAACCACAATAACGTCATACGTCGAATCAGATTCACCTACATGACCCGTGGACTCAGCAGAACGCAGAAGATGAACAAAAACAAGAGCTCGAAATCACAATTCGGTGACATTGCTGAAATTTGTACAAATTCAAAATTTTCTGTACCGGAAGAGAAGCTGGGAACAGCGGAGGTGACGAAGTGGCGACGGTTCGGGAAGACAACTCCACGCCGGAGGTTGCGGCGGAGACGGACAGGCTGAGGAAGGAGGTGTAAGGTAGACGAAGAAGGAGAGAGGAAAGAATAAGGGACGAGATGAGAGAACCGAAGGAGATGTCGGCGACTGACGAAGGCGGCAGCGGTGGCGGCGGCCATCGGAGAGAGCGAAATCGGCGACGGAGGTGAAGGGTTCAAGAGAGAGGTTTTATCGGGAGCAAATGTGGGTGAGAAACAGAGGACCCAAAGCAGCCTTTTGGATTTGATTTTTATCGAAATAAGGCCTTGGGCCAACACGGTTAAGTTCGGTTCAATCTAATTCTATTGAACCAAATGTATCTCCGTTTGATTTATTTTTTTTATAGTTTTTTTTTTTTTTTTTTTTTGTATAGATGATTATCCAGCACGGAGTAAGGATGGTGGTTGTGGAGCCTTTTTACACATACCCACGCCACTTTATCACCCACTATTCATAGTATTGCTCTTATATATCTTTTTAAAATTTAATGGGAATATATATTGTATATCACATATTACGGAGGTGGTTTATATTCTCAGATTGATTTTCCTTAATTATAGACTAGGTTTTACATCTTAGTTATATATATATTCCAATGAAGAGCAACGAGAATAAACAAGCCGTTCTTTTGAACTCTCTGTGTCTGGTACATATCATGGTATCAGAGCTTCAACCACTGCAAATTCCGCTTTAAATCATCGAATCGATGGCCACCGACACCGGAAATACTTCCGCCGAACCGATCCCGACACCGACCTCGAACCCCGACACGACCAACCCTTCGAACTCAGCATCCGCAATGAACGGACGCGACGCGAACCCCCGAAGAACGATCTCTCCATACGACCTAACACCCAGTGATAACCCCGGATTGATCCTGTCTCAACCACTGCTTCGTGGAGAAAATTATGATGAATGGGCAATCAACGTACGCCAAGCACTCAAATCCCGGAAGAAGTTTGGATTCGTGGATGGATCTATACCGCAACCTGAATCTGATTCGCTGGATTTCGAAGACTGGGATACGAACAATGCACTAATTGTTTCGTGGATAAAGAATACACTAGAGCCGCATCTTCGTTCTGATGTGGTACATCGAGAATTCGCTACAGATTTATGGGAATATCTGAAACGCAGGTTTGGAAAGACTACTGCTCCTCGTCTTCTCAAACTCCGAAGCGATCTTGCTAATTGTAGACAACACGGAATGACAGTCGAGTCATATTTCAGAAAGCTGACAAAGTTATGGAACGATCTAGCCAATTTCAGATCCTTGAAAGTCTGCAAATGCGGCAGGTGCTCGTGTGATATCGGTGCTACTCTCGAAAAGGAGAGAAACGAAGACAGACTGTACGAGTTTCTACTTAAAGTGGAGTCATATTTCGGAAAGCTGACAAAGTTATGGGACGATCTAGCCAATTTCAGATCCTTGAAAGTCTGCAAATGCGGCAGGTGCTCGTGTGATATCGGTGCTACTCTCGAAAAGGAGAGAAACGAAGACAGACTGTACGAGTTTCTACTTGGGCTAGATGAGACGAGATACAACACTGCACACTCTTGGCGTTGATCACGTTGCTCCCATGACTATCCACTGTGATAGCCAATCCGCACTGCAGATTGCGGCCAACAACGTGTTCCACGAACGCACAAAACACATCGAAGTCGATTGTCATTTCCTTCATCACCATCTTTCCAGCCGCAATATAGCAACCCGACATGTCTCGACTCATCACCAACTTGCCGACATCTTCACCAAGTCACTCGGGAAGAAGGAGTTCAACATCTTCTTAGACAAGTTGGGCACACATCATATATATGCTCCAACTTGAGGGGGGTAATGGGAATATATATTGTATATCACATATTACGGAGGTGGTTTATATTCTCAGATTGATTTTCCTTAATTATAGACTAGGTTTTACATCTTAGTTATATATATATTCCAATGAAGAGCAACGAGAATAAACAAGCCGTTCTTTTGAACTCTCTGTGTCTGGTACATATCAAAATTCTCTAACAAATTTTTAGAATTCGTCCACTAAAAAAATATTAAAAATTTCCAAGTAAAATTACTTATCACGAAAAAATTTTCTAATAAATAAATAAGTAAAGAAACGTTAATAGGATATACATAGGACTAATTGTTTTCTTTCCTCTTCTTCATTTAGCACGTGCGTGATTGGTAGTTGTATCACACAATCACCTAACCAATTTATACGTACTGGTTTTCGTTTTCCCTCCCTGAGATATATTTAAAAAATAATAATAAAACTATGGATTTTCTTTTATCACTTTGTTGAATTTGCCATCGGAAGTTGGAATTGTCAACAATCTTTTGCTACACAATCAATAAAAAAAAATATACAAAAGGAATATAATACAAGTGGTCTTTAAAAAACAAGGAAGACCAAGAAGTCCTAATTCAACTTTTCACTCCGACCGCCAACTTTGAAAGAAATCCAATCATCACACATAGACATATAAATAAAATACTCGAGACTTCAACAAGCCACAGCATAAACGATCAAGAAAAACGAGGAAGAAAGATCGAGAGAAGAGAGAAAGAAATGGCGGCGTTATCGGACAAGCAAGCCGAAGCCTATCTCCACGCGAGGCCGAGGTATCCGTCCGAATGGTACGGAAAGCTGGCCGCCCTGACGGCCGAGCACAAGGTGGTATGGGACGTGGGCTGTGGCAACGGCCAGGCCGCCGTCGGGGTACAAGCTCTTTCTCCTCTTGATTTTAAATCCGAAATTTATCAAATCCAATAATTAATATCGATTTAAAAATTCGATATATAGAATCATTCAGTTTAGTTTAAGTTTGCCCATCTTCTATTGTCAGCGTATAACATTGACAAATGTATATACGAATGTATACAGGTGGCTGAATACTACGACAAGGTCGTGGCAACAGACATTAGCGAGTTACAGCTCAAGAGAGCGTTCAAACATCCAAAAGTGACTTACCATCACACTCCAGCTTCCATGTCCGATGACGAACTGGTCGCTCTCGTCGGCGGCGAAAACTCCGTGGATCTAATCGTGGCCGCTCAGGCCGTACACTTTTTCGACACCGCTAGATTCTACAACATAGCCAAACGCGTTCTTCGCAAACCGGGCGGTTTGATCGCGGTTTGGGTCTACAACGACCTCATAATCTCTCCCGAGGTCGATCCCATCATGAAGCGTGTGGTGGATTCCACGTTTCCGTTCAGAACGCCGATAATGAATCTGGCGTTTGACGGATACAAAACGCTGCCGTTCCCGTTTGAGAGCGTGGGGATGGGGTCGGAGGGGGAGCCGATAGCTCTGGACATTCCGCATAAGCTTTCGCTCAAAGGGTTTGTGGGTTTTTTGAGATCGTGGCAGCCTGCGGTGAAGGCCAAGGAACAAGGGGTCGAGCTCATAACAGATGATTTGATCAAGGAGTTCGAGGAAGCGTGGGGGGACGATGAACCGGTCAGGAATGTGTTCTACAAAGCGTATATGATTGTCGGGAAAGCTCGAGAATGATCGAAGACATTATATATCAATCATTAATCAACAAAGGAACAAAATAAGTTCATGTCTTTGAATAGCGATGTTTTTCGTGTTTGTAACAAATCGAGGGATAATAATAAGCAATTTTATTTTTATTTTTTTTTTGTCAAAGGTTGGTATATTCATAACTTTCGGAACCGGTACAAAAATAATAAGCAATTTTAGAGATTCAAAACATTTTGCACGTCATTCTTAATGACATTTTTAAAATTATTCTTAACATAATTCCAGAAAACAAATAAGTCCTCAAACACATATACTTCATTTACGTAGTTTGGGCCAATTCAGTAAATACATATTGAAAATTTATGTATTAAGAAAAATTAAATCTCCATCGCATTAATTGTTTTTTGACCAGCGTTGTAAATAAAATCATTATTGTAAGATAAATGAATGATCCTTAATCCTTTTGACACGACTGATTGTGGCATAACGTAAGAAACAATTCTAATCATTTTGCATTATATATATATATATATATATATATATATATATATATATATATATATATTATATAAAAGAGACGGGG